GGGATGTTTTCGTGATGCACATTTTCTTTGCATAAAACTCTCTTATACATGAGTTGCTGTGGATTTGTTTCTCCAAAGTACCCAGACTAATACAGTACTGTTAGAGATTCACATCTGATCTTACCACAGCAGCACCAAGGCTGAGGCTACTTCCTGCTAGATTCTCTTTCTTTTCCTTCTCCCACATATTGCTCTATTACTCTACCAGACCAGTGAGAGTCACATAGGCCTAAGCATATGGGATCATTCAGGTCATACAAGTGTGATGCCAGAAAAATGGAGCCTGGTTAAGAAAATGACTACCACCACACCCTGGTTCCATCCTGATTTAAGGATTGGGGATTTTACAAGATAATATGGAATAGACAAATGAGGTCCAGAAATCAAGAGCCACACTAGAACTGAAAAAGGAATTTTTATTCAGGATCGTATTGCACATGGTAACTAATACCACCTTCAATACATTCTGACATTTAAAGCACTTTCAGTAATTAAAAACTAAATTTTAAGGCTTTAGTTTTTTCTCATGAATCTCTAAAGCCAACGGATGTGTAAGTGTGTTGACTACACATTAAAAAGATAAAAGTTTGAATGTTCTACTTTTCCTTATGCAATAGACAATATATACCTATGTAATCCCTTAAAATTGTTTGAAAGTTATTAGAAGGAAATATGTATACCCAAGGAATACTTAGAGAAGCTTCAACACAAAGTACCTAGAGTAAATGAAATACTTATATATAGCTTAGTAAATGCTTTGTGGAAATAAGAGCTATATTTTCTAAGATTACATCTTTTACGGAAGTTCTTTTTAAAAGAAATTATCAGTTGTAAAAATCCACAGTTTCTAAGAGTGGCTTTTAGAGGTAATTTTATTAGCAGAAAATCTTTTTAACATTTAATTCTGCTTTAAATTCTCAATTCAAACTCACAGCCATCAAGTCTTTCTGACTCACAGCGACCCTTATGAAAGAGTTGAACTCCTCTCCTGGGTTTCTGAGACTTCAATTTTTAGTGCAGTAGACAGCCACCATCTTTCTCCCACAGAGTGCTGGTGGGTTTGAACCCTGACCCTGTGGTTAACATAAAGCCAATGTTTAACCCACTATGCTACCAGAGCTCCTTTACTCTAAATTAGTGTGGTTTAAAAGCTACACCATGGCAATAGCAAAGCGAGATGGCAACTTTTGATAAGTCAGTCACCATAGAACAAAATAAAGCCCAAGTAGTGGAAATGCAGGCATTTCCTGGTTTGAGAATTTGATTCACAGAAACTTCCCAATTTGTATTCATCTCAATATATGTCACAAAGGAGTCATTCCAATAAAGAATTCCTACTCAAGAAAGAGAGACGGTCACGTTATTCCCTTGCCTAGGAGTAGTGAGAGACAGCTGTGAAACCTACAAAAGGAAGGACGGGGAAAGCAGCCTGGGCTTTACGGCATCTTTTTACTTGGATGAGTGAGTCAACAGCACTTCTAGAAGAATCAGATAGAAAGTAGAAGAAAATGGACAAGAAAGGTAAAAGATTAAAAAATATGATTAAAAACAAACTACATAACCACAACCAGAGACCAGAAATTGAAATTTCTTTCCAAAAAGAAAAAGTCTTTAGCATTTTTAAAAATTCTTATAACTAAAGAGTTGAGTTTTCAACTCTTTCCTTAATAATTCCAAGTTTACTTTAAGACAGAGTATCAAAATTTAGTATATATTATATGCAATCCTAAGCTAAACAGGTAAAAAATTACCTTAATTTGTCATTTTTTTTACACATGATACGTTCTATGAAAATTTCAGGGATAAGAAGTCTTTTGAAAAGACTAATTTTAGGCCAGTTACGGTTTTCAGTAAGAAATATGCTGATGATCATACCATGTCAATCTACTATCAATAACTGCCCCCCTGCAAATATATAAGACAAAGATGGTAAAATTCTAGGCCAAATGACCAACTAATAAAAATTAAAATTGCAATAAATAAAAACACACAATACTTGCCCTGCTGTTAAAATAACATAATGCTAGGGGATTATTTCTATACTCTAGTAATGTAACATCTGAAACATGCTATTTAACAAGTGTCTCTTACATTTTACTATCTCCTACTTCAACTGCAACTCAAGAATTATGCTTTCATTTATTCTAAGAAGGATTTCTGAAGTCAAAGGCTTTTCATTCCATTGGAGGCAAGTTCCAGTGTAAATGTAAGAATAAGCAACATTCTGAGAACATGGTAAAATACTCAATTTCATTTGTTAATTCAAGCTCCAACCTTGTGATCTGATCTCTCATATCCCTGGGATATGAGTAACTTACTGATAACATATATGCTAATTAATCAATACTTAATTTAGTAATTAATACCTCCATGATATAATTAATAAAACTAATATTGACTCACAAATGCAAGCAATAAGCTATGTTCTTGTTATGTCACTATTTTAGTTTTTATTCTAAATGACAAAATTCAGGTAAATATCTTCATAGAAAAGAGGGTGAAGGGAGACACTGGATAATGTAAGACATGACATAATAATAATAACTTATAAATTATCAAGGGTTCGTGAAGAGGGGGGCTGTTGAGGGAGGGGAAAATGAGTAGCTGATACCAAGGGCTCAAGTAGAAAGAATAATGTTTTGAGAATGATGATGGCAACAAACTGTACAGCAGAAGCTGCTGGCAGGAAAACTGAAATGGTAACATTGAACAACTGCTAGAAGCTGAATGTGGACCAGCCTTAGAGAGAGAAGCTCCTCTGGACACACGCTTAGGGAGCCCCTCCCATTACCATGGGTTTTATCTTGAGGAAAGTTGTACCAAGCTTTCAAGGTGAAGGGCTGAGAAATCCCTGCCTCACTCTGGCAAGAGAAGTAGGAAGCATTCACCCTCCCAAAGCTGAGTCTACCTAGCCTTTCTGGGTCAAAAAAGGGGCCGGGAGTCAAAAGCTAAGACATGTGTGAAGATTACAGCCAGGAACTCCAGCTCATAAAGACTGGGGATTTAATTTTAAAACCATATAAACTTCTTCTCTCTCACACCTTCCCACCACACCACTAGGGACTCTAAGTATAACAACAGTGGGTTACAGCTGAAATGCAGACATCTAAGTTTCACCACCAACAGCCAGCCGTTAAATGGGAAATTACCTCTTTAGTGAGGAGTAGCCAACTTATTCGATTTGCACTAGTTATAACTAAAATTATTATAAATCAAAGAAATACAGTAACTAGACCATGTTTTGGTGGCTATACCTGTTGTTACATGACCTTCTCCGAAAAAGTCAGATTCTAATGAAAGAAAAATATCGGACATTTGAGATTTTCACACATTGTGGTCTCCTATTTGATACGTAAGGGAGCTACACATTTGGATCTTCCTCTAAACTGCCAATTTTTAAAGTGTTTAGGATTCTCATGAATAAAATATAGTAGGGGAAGAATGTTGGGAAAATTAATAAAAGTATAAGTGGGTATTTTAAATGTTGGAGGATTAATATTCCAACTGTAATTTACTCCATTCGAACTGCCTGGAGTTTTCTACTACGTTCTAGTTTAAAACAAAGTAAGATGATGGGAATTCTTTCTTTAACCTTTTTCAGCTGTGACTCCATTTTCAGACACTCCTCCTTCTTCTGCTCCAAAGCAATCTCCAGCGTCTTCAGCCGTGAGTCCTTTTTCAGCCCTGACGACGCCAGGGAAGAAGCATGTTCCTTCAGATCCAAAAGCGAAGCCTAAAAGAAACAGCAACGCACACCTAGAATAAACACTAACTACATGAAGTGGAGCTTTAATTCCATTTTCTTGGTGTTGGGCATTTCTTTCATTACCATACCAAACACATTCATAAAATATAAAACTATAAGAATTTCCTTTTTCCTTTTCTTTAGGAATTTTCTTAAGAAAAAATGATCCTTTCCCTCTTAAAAATGAGTATCATCCTAAATCCATCTGAAACACATATGGAAAGCTACAATAAATTATGGGAAATAAGATGGATTTCCCAGAAATACCAATTGAATAGTTATTCAAAGATGTTTATCAATACATACCCATTCCGATGAAATAAAAGCTCAAGCTTTGTGAATATAAGTAGCCTACACTGGAACCTTCACAAACTCAAACATAAAAAGAAAAATCTTATTTTAGAAATTCTACTAAGAACTTGAAATTCCATTAATTTTCCTAAAAATATAGAGAATTCAGAGAAAGATACTAAAGCTCATACATTTTTATGTGATCACATGGTTTTAAGTACCTTTACTACTTAAAAGTCACATTTACACAATTCTCCAAAATCAAGATCAAAGTCTATTAGGTCATGCCATTGGTCATTAAAGGTAATCAGTTAACTTATGATCTCTCTGCCAATGTCCAGAAGCACTGGAAAAGCTGTTGTAAATAAATTTCCCACCTTTCGGGCATTCCTTTTGTCTGTCACCTTTTTAACCGTTAGTGCAATATTTCCACAAGTACAACTGAGCTTCCTGTATCCCAGGATCTATAAAAATGCTAAAATCAAAGATACTAACTCATAACAAAGTGAAAGAGATAAGGCTTAGGAAGTAAACAATTCCATCTATTATGTCCCTAGAAAGCTTTCTGAAATATTCTTTACAGTCATCACAAAAAGCTTCCTATAAGAATTGTAAGCAACTTCTATTTTTCATATAAATTGTATTATGTGGACATTGAAAACACACACACACACACACACACACACACACACACCATTCCCCCTTCAACAATCTTAACCTCTTTCTCTGAAAGGTCGCCTTGCAATAAGCTGACTTTTTCTTTCAAGTCCTTCAAATCTTTTTTGTAATTATCAATCTCCTCTTGCTTTTCTCGCTCATCTCTGTCCCGCTGCTCCTTTAAGCGTTCAATTGTCCGTTCCTGATAAGAAAGCAAATCAATACATGAGGGCATTTCTTTTGGTACTGATATCATGCAACTGTAATTTTGCTTTTAGTGTATAAATTTTCACATGTCCATCCTCCATTAGAGAGACAATGTTAAGTTTTTAATCATCGATTTTCAAAGTATTCATTTTCTTTCCAGATTGCCATACAAAGACCTGGCTTTATTATTCTTTGGAATCTTTAAGGGTTTCCTATAATTTCATTTCTCCAAGTATTAGGTATGCCTAAAGTATTCTTTTGAAATAATATAATCTATATATTTAATTCTTAAATAGTCCAAACCACAAATACTTATTAAGATACTCATATATGAGGGGGCTTCAAAAAACTTCTTAGAAACATTCTGGTAATTCAACCACATTATCCCATGAATTTATTGAAGCCCTCTTACTTAGACACAGACAGACAGACACACCCTAATAATAGTCACAATCTTTATATTCATGTTGCCTCGATGCCAATGGAACCATCTCAAAATTCACCACACACAAAAACCAAAAAAACCAGGCAGAATAGGATTATGGTATTTTGAGCTGAAAGTATAAAATAGGGTAAAGAAAAGAGAACCATTAAAACTTCGTTTAACATATACTCAGGAAATTTAAAAGCTGACATAATTTGAGTATATTTCTAGGCATTATTTCTTGATCTTTGGCAGCCTAAAAGCATTCTGAATCTGAGACTTAAAACAGTGATCCTATCCTTGCTTTTTGTTGTTGTTCTTAAATCCAATTAAAGTGGATTTCTTTCAAGACATTAACACTGGGCAATTGGGGTCATTTCTTTAGTCAGTCTGGAAAAGTAGACTACTTCATAAAGGCCAAATGAAGTAACAAAGCCACGACTCAAAAAACAATACCTATGCAGTATTGACAACTAAAGTCCACAAACATATGTAAATACAGTAGATATACCAAAATAAACTCACTGCCATCAAATCAATACTGATTCATAGAGACCCTAAAGGTCAGAGCAGAACTGCTCCCGTGTTTCCAAATGTCACTTTTAAAAAAAAATCATTTTATTGGGGGCTCGTGCAACTATTCTCACAATCCATCCATCCATCCATTGCAGATCTGTCACTCTTTACAAGAGTAGAAAGTCTCATCTTTCTCCTGATGAAAAAACATATGTCAATTTCTATATCTCTTTCTAGTGATCAATGTCTGAAATCCCCATATCCTTAATTCTAGATGATTACATACATTATTTAATTTTTTTTTTTCTTCAGAAGAGAGTAAGTGGGAGAACAGAGAACTTATTCTTTAGAAATGCTGCCACTGCCTGCCAGTGTGGAATCCATCTTGCCTGGCAGCTAATGCTTCCACTGGCACAACTAAAAGGATTTTCTTTCCCTTTACACTGTTTGCCAGCAACAGCATAAGAATCCTTTTCCGTTTTATCCAAAGGATTTCTTCTGTATTCTATATCCACGCCCCATCACTAGAAAAACATTTGGATTAATGAGAAAGCAGAAGAGATAGAATTACGTCACCCACCTTCTCTGCAAGAGCCTCCTCCAATGTTGTCAGGGCCGTGTCAGTGTTGGTGGTATCAGCCTGCAAGGATTTGACGCGTTCCTTCAAACTGCTCATCTGCTTTTCCTTATCTCTAAGCTGCTCTTGAAGATTTTCAATCTGCGTAAGAGTACACATGGGGGCGGGGGGAGAACAAAATGGTAAGAAATAGAAATAGCCATGTTTCAGGATGGAAATAAGTAGAACAAAAGTGTGTGTGTGATTTCTATAGAAATAATTTCATTCTAAAGGGTTCATAATAGCATGCAAGACTTCATATCTCAGATTTACAGTGAGAGAGAAAAAGCATACAAAAGCAGCTGCAACAACGGGCTCAAACAGAAGGACAATGATGGCAATGGTATAGAATCAGGGTTTTGCTCTGCTGCACACAGGGCCACCAGGAGTTGGAATCCACTTGATGGCACCTAACAACACACACACACACACACACACACACACACACACACAGAATTTTTCTTAATGGCATTTATATGCCAAGAGGGTTTCTGTGGTAGTTACATAGTTTCATGGCAAAGTGTAGGGATGGAGTCTAGCCTGTCAATCAGGTCACAGTCTGATGGCACCTCCTTGTGCGTGTGGCCTCAGAGGAGGGCCCTAAGAACTTCCCCTCTCTCGCTCTGCTTCACCTTCCTGCTGGCGAGCCACTCTGACAGGTGCCAGAGCCCCGTGATACTTCCAAGGCAATGGACTTTGCACCCACCAGCCGGTGATGTTCCTGCGTTCTGCATCATTCCATGTGGCTTCGTGAGCCTGAGGGACTTATGGACTTGAGTTGGGCTGGACTGGGATTTTCTCTTGATATACAATTATTTTCTAGAGATAAAGCTCAGTCTTAGACATATAGGAGTGTCACTGGATTTATTTCTCTAGTAAACCGAGCCTAACACAGTTTCCTAGACACAAAAATCAAGGGAAGACACAGAATGTAACAAGTAAACAGTAAAAATGATGAGCCAACTATATAAAGGAAAGATTGTTCTTAAATGCTAGAGGTTAAGTCACATGTTTATATAATCTTTATCAAAGCAAGAATTTCAATGAAATTTCATATTGTAGTAATTTATCCCTTCATAAACATTTACATGCATTAATTTGCCCAAAAAGGATTTACAGAATAACAGTTATAGGCCAGATATTAGTCTCAGAAGAAAGAATTAATCCCACTGTTCCTATTCTCTTATTATATGATGAAACAGTAAGCTTCTGTCGTTGAAACCAAGCTGTGGACGGCCTTGCATGTCGTCCTACGAAGCACAAATGTTATGAGAGATGGCTACCATTACCGAGTTTGAAGTGAAGAAAGGGTCTGGTCAGATTTGTATTTTAGAAAGTTCATACTGATGGAAGTAGAAATTTAAAGAGACTGGCATAGAGACCAATTGAGAGGCTCTGTCCATGCAAGCAGAGTCCAGGTAGCATAGTGGTTACATGTCAGGCTGCTAACCTCAAAGTCAAGCGTTTGAGCTACTCCTCCGAACAAAGTTGAGGCTTTCTACGCCTGTAAATAGTTAGTCTCTGCTCAGAAACCTACAAGGGCAATTCTACCCTGGCCTAGAGGTTTGCCAAGAATCAGAATTTACTTGATGGCTGTCATTTTGGAGTTTCTGATCAGCTCAAGCAAGATATGATATGGACATAAAGAGGGGACAGACTTGAGAAACAAAGTAGAAATTAAATTAAATTATACAAACAAAAAATAAGCCTGCTGCCATCTAGACGATTTAGTTTCTAAGGTTGTAGTCTTTTGTTGTTGTTTTTTAAGATTGTTAATCTTTATGGAGGCAGTAAACCACATACTTTTCTTATGGAGCCATGGGGGATTCAAACAGAGCACTTAACCACTGAGCCAACATGTATTCAAGTATACATGATGAAAAAGATTCAGCAAAAGTATCAGTAATTTAAATTCTAGAGAGAAAATTATAACCAAGTCAACTGTTCTAGATATTATTAAGTTCATCCATTTATTCTACAACTATGTGAGTTCCTGCTATGAGCCAGAAACTTTTCTAGGTTTTGAAGATGCAGAATTAATCAAAACAGAAAATACCTGCCTGCATCAAACTGTCATTCTAATATGGCAAACAGATTGAACACACAAACAAGTACACACAGTATGCAGCAAATTATATGGAGAAAAATTAAGAATGATGTATAGTTTCCTCGTAAGCTAATAAATAACTAGCTGTGTGACTTCTGAAAATTCTATGTGACTTCTGAAAAATAACAAATATTACTTCCTTTGATAAGATTTTCTTATTTTCATTTTTATTGGAATACTGTGATCTTATTGTACATTAGTACATATATATTGCTGTGTGCTGTAAAGTTGGTTTTCAACACATAATAACCTTATAGCAGCGGTTCTCAACCCAAATGACCCTACAGCAGTGGTTCTCAATCTGTGAGTCATGATCCCTTTAGGAGTTGAATGACCCTTGCACAGGAGTCGCCTGATTCATAACAGTAGCAAACTTACAGTTATAAAGTAGCAACAAAAATAACTTTATGGTGGGGAGGGGCACCACAACATGAGGAACTGTATTTAAGGGTCACGGCATGAGGAAGGTTGAGAATCACTGCCCAACAGGAAACAGAGGAACTGCCCCACATGGTTTTCTATGCTTTACAGAAGCAAATATGCATGACTTTCTTCCACCTAAAGCCATTAGTGGGTCCCAAGCACTGAGCTTTCAACCAATTAGCTGCTTAGCTCTTAACTACTGCACCATCAAAGCTCCTTAATATATATTATATGTTACTCTATAACTACATACACATGAATTTAACTCTAACCACATATATAGCCTAGTCCCCAATCTTCACGACTTGCTTGTCTCATATGTCTCTACAAGTAGTCATGGATCCTGCTCTCCTATACCAGTTTTGTATCTCCATATTTTGCATTAAATATTTAAGGTAAATTTCGGTATATTAAGGTAAATCAGTAAATGAATATTTTAAAAGTTTGAATTCAGGAAATATCCATTAACTATATTTAGACATGCACATATACACCTGCTAAGAAAAGACGTACACCGCCCCCCAACCAGGAATCAACCTTCAAACATTTCCTGAATTAATCAATTTAGTACAAACCCTTTAAGGCCTGTTCCATTCCATCGATGAAGTTTTTTTTATTTTTGTTTTAAGTTCTTCTAGAGCAGTGGTTCTCAACCTTCCTAATGCCATGACCCTTTAATACAGTTCCTTGTGTGGTGGTGACCCGCCCCCCACCATAAAATTATCTTCATTGCTACTGCATAACTGTAATTTTGCTACTGTTATGAATCGGGTGACCCCTGTGAAAGGGTCAATCAACCCCCAAAGGGGGAGCGACCCACAGATTGAGAACCACTGTTCTAGATGGTCAGTGAAGAAACATGGTAAATTCAGAATACAGTACCACAAGTAATCCAAGGTCTGGACTTTCATTCTTTGTGTTGCGAGGTGTTGTCACGTTAATGCTGACTCACAGAGAACCTCACAGACAACAGAATAGAACAATGTGGGTCCTGTGCCTTCCTCACAATCGCTGCTATGTTTGAGGCCATTTTTACAGCCATTTGGGTCCATCCATCTTGTTTAAGGTCTTCCTCATTTTGATGTCTTTCTCCATGGGCTGATTTGTCTTGATAACATGTCTAAAGTGTGTGAGAGGTGGTTTTGCCATCCTCCCTTCTATGGCACATGCTGGCTGTGCTGCTTCCAAAACAGAACTGCCCGCTCTTCTAGCAGTCCGTGAAACTCAAAACCCAAAGCCACTGAATCCATTAAGACTCAGCGCAACCCTAGAAGATGGAGTAGAACTGCCTCTGGGGGTTTCTGAGGTCGTAAATCCTTACACAGTAGAAAGCCTCATCTTTCTCTTCGTATTTGGTGAGTTAGAACCATCAACCTCATGGTTAGCAACCCAATACACCACCAGGGCTCCTTTGGCAATTCACAGTATCTCCCGTGTGTCACAATACAATTCAAAGACCTGAATTCTTCTCCAGTCTTCCTTTTTTACTGTCCAGCTTTCCCACATGATGAAGTAATTGAAAATACCATGTCTTGGTCCCAAGGTGATCGCTATGATTTTAGCAGTTTATGGAGCAGTGGGTTCTAAGCTTGGCAAGGCCAGAAATTCAAAACCACCACCCGCTCTGAGGGAGAGAGATGAGAGTTTCTAGTCACATAAAGATCTGCAGTCTCAGGAAGCCACAGAGGCCGTTCTTCTCTGCCCTACAGGTTACATGCTGGAATTGACTCGATGGCAGTGAATTTGGAGTTTGTCCTTTACAGCAATTGTGCACAGTGCAATACACCTCATTTGAGTTCTTGACTGCTGCTTCTTTGTGTGTTGATTATGAATCTAAGCCTTCTTAACACCAGTGCAAGTTTCATTCAAACAAACAAACAAAACAACTTTCTCACAATAAGCCCCTCTGTGGCGCCTCCTTTGAGAAAATCTATCCATATTACTTCCTTGTAATTTCCAGAAAAGGAGCCCTGGTGGTTCAATGGCTACAAGCTGGGCCATGAGCCAGCCACAAGATCAGCAGTTCAAAACTGCTGCTCCTCGGGAGAAAGACGGGGCTTTTTACTTCTGTAAAGAAACCCATAAACTCACAGGGGCAGTTCTACCCTGTCCTGTAGGGTCACTATGAGTCAGCATCAACTGGATGGCAGTGAATTTGCATTTGTTTGTTTGTTTGTTTTTAGAATTCAAAAAAACAGTCACCATAACCTTCTTAACTGACCTTTCTGCCTTGAACTGAATTGGCCCAGCAGATCCCCTTGGAAGACCGTTTTAAGTGAAACTTTTATGGTGAGTCACAAAAGTTGACAAAGCATCTTTCCATAAACTAATCATCACTTAAAACAAACCAATTCATTGCCATCAATTTGATCTTGACCCACAGTGACCCTCAAAGGCAGAGTAACACTGCCCCACATAAGGTTTCCCAGGCTGTAATATTGATGACGCAGACTGCCACGCCTTTCTCCCCAGACAGCTTATAAATTTGAACTACTGACCTTCTGGTTAACAGTCGAGCACTTAACCACTGTGCTAACAGGGATCTTATTAAATAGAAAACTACTGACTGCCC